CTAATTATTATTAAATTTACTCATTTAAATGATGTCAAAGTCACTTTATCCTGCATTCTGTCACCTTTTTCCTCTGTCATTTTAATCAACTGTTTGATAATTATATCTCATGTTCACTTAGTTAAATATGATTACATTTATATCAATTTATCGGAAATTTAACTTTCAGAAAAAATCAACAATCAATGAAAATCATTATTTCGAAAATTTGTATACCAAAAATAAAAAAATCTGAAATTCCAGAAATTGTATTTTAAAATATGTTGTGATAGTAAACAATATATGTCTTAATTATATGAGATTAATGCAAAATGACACTATTTCTTTTTTTTTGATCCTAAACATAGCCAAATCCAATTGTAAGCTTTCAAAATATGCTTAGCCATAGGGGCCTATTCACCTTATTATGCATACATTGATCGATTGACAAGTTAATTGAAAGAAGCTAAAAATAATTTTGAAAAAATTGGAACAATATAAGCATAATGGATTTTAAAGATTGTTAACATAATCGATCAATGCCCAATGGTCTAGTCGAGAATATTTCCGAAGGTTATAGGTCAAATGATACACTTTCCAGGATGATATTTTTTTCCTTGATGATATCTAGTCGAGAATAATTTTCCAGTGGTTATTGATAAAATGTTATACCTTCCAAAATGATTTTTCTTTCTTTCTATTCTTTTTTCTTTTGTTTCTCTTCATATGTTGCAATATTTCATTCATGTCAACGATCTCTTCCATGAAATCTGCTTAAATGTTTTTTTTTTGTTCAATTATTCTTTTAAATTTACTTAATACTGCAATTAATTGTGTACAAGCTCACTTATATTTAATGATTGTTTTCATCGTTATTCTAATTCATGCATTATTGTTTACTGTTTTTCATTTCCTTTTTTCTCTGCATAATGATTACATAGGATACTTTTGATTTTGTTTTTTAATTGAAAATTAAAAAAAAAACAATAAATGATAATATCAAGGTGATATGACTACATTCGACTATTTGTATTTGATATGCAAAAATTTAAAAAGACAATTTTTGTGAAGGGATTTGAAATAGGAATACATTTATTTCTGTGATTCCGGATATTTCCTGAATGTTTCCGAGGTTTATTAAAGACACTTTCAGTTTTTCTGAATGTTTCCAAGGCTTACCTAAAATTCTTCCAGTCTCCCTGAATATTTTCAAAGTTTACTGACGACATATTCAGTTTTCCTAAATGCTTCCAAGATTTGCTGAATATAATTTCAGTTTTCTTTTTTTTCTTTTTCAAGAATCCATCACAATGGCCTAACGGAGGGTTCAGTTACAATGCAGAGGACGAGATTATACAAGCGGTAATGACAAATTTAGCGAAGACTATCACAAATGATTATGTAAAAGATAAAATCCAATTTATTGAAACACACCGCTTTAGAAATGGACTAAGATAATTAAAGTAACC